GTCAGAATGCTGAAGGTTCTCACGTCGCCCGAAGAAATAGCAAATGAGTTGCAGCGAGACAAGATGCACGTATTTGGATTGGCACCGATCGCAAGTGTCAGATGTACTAAATGGAATTGTTTGACAGAATCCACGTCTCAAGCTGGTGCTTGGAGGAGTGTCATGTCTCTTTTGAAGTCAAAGAATTGTCACATAGTGAGTTGTGAAAGTTATGATGGGTGTCGGCGCCAAGAAGTACCGATTTCAAATGATAAGCACAACTCGAATTGACGTCTACTACCCTGAAGCCATATGCGCGCGGATTGATGCATCTTTCTTTTGCTAGAGGCTACTGGTAACAAAAGAACATACCCTGCTTGTACCATTTTGACGCATTCGAGAGAGCTCCCATAAGAAAACTCCCATACAATTTAGTGTAGTGCGACATTAATTGAAAGTAGAAAAAGAATTGATTAAACAAGATTGTGCAACCTTGAAAGTAGATCATGGTTTAGCAAGGAGGTCGTGACGAAGGCTTCGGATATTATCGACTCGAAGGACGAGGTGGGCTTCACCATCTCTTGAATTCTTTGCTGGTTTTGGCTTTTGCTCTCTGTCTCTCTTTCCTTGATTGTGGAATTTCAGCTTTCACAAACTTTTGCTAATCCATCTCGCGAAGAGAGAAATCTTGGTAGTTTTTACTCTTTGTTCAACTCCAAGAATCCCTAAGAAGAAAAAGAAGTGTTTATAATTTATATACCTTTGTAAACTTCACCAATAAGTACGTGAGATTGGATGGTAGCTAATTGTTTCTGGAGTATGATATCTAGATCATTGTTTAGAATAAGTACAGTACTACCAAGAATGACATTGTTTCTCAGTAGTTTGGACTTCCTTTGATCATAGCAGATAGCTATCAGCCCAACACTCGATATATGTGGAAAAATTAAGCCATTATATCATGTTGGCTTGATTTTGAAAATGAATCGATACTATTAGAGGCCTCATTGAATTTTCCGTCTTCCAATCATTTATCGTGCACATGTTTCGGCCCTGTTGATCTTACTACATAGAATGCTTTAATGGTCACTTGGATTCAAATCTATCATATTATATGAAATTGTAGCTAAGGCATTAAAGTGGATATAGATACCGGACTTTATGACTTCAATACGAAATAAGGTTGCACTCCATAAGTTTTATCTCATAAAGTAATAATCAAATTTTCAGCTCACTTCTCATGGCGACTGATTCTGACGGGAGTGAATGGAACAATCCTTCCATAGCAATGCTGCCAAGCGTAGAGCTGACCGTGTTTCGCATCAATATATACTCATTTATGGAGGAGTTGTGAAAACAAATGACACTTTCAGGTTCAAAGTGTCACCACCCATTGTGATACAAGTTACAATATCAATGATAATTTCCACCTTTATGATAGCAGTTGTCTTGCATGATGAGTTCCATCAAAGAACCAATGGAACGTACAAATACTGAGTCCCACAATACCACAAGATACATAAAGTTTGTGAGTAGAGGGTAATTCTAGCAAATATGAAGGGGAGTCTTTTTGAACAAAGTATTTGATAGAATTTGAAGAACAGAGATTGAATGTTGGTAATTTTATAAACTTAATTTGAATAAGAATACCAAATAATATTACAGGCTTGTGACATAGATTATTTTTATATTTTTTAATCTACTGATTTGTGAACTAAATTTTTTTTTAAATACTTCAACTTAATAATTTTCAAGTTTTCAAATTACATGTTATTATCTCAATCTTTTATAAAATCTAGATAAAGCATATAATTTTTTTTCAGATATTAGTGATGACACGTATGAGTATTACATTTAGTAAATAATAATATATAATTATTACACAAGTGATATCTAAATATATATAAATATAGATGAATATACATTTTGTTATGAAAATTTGTTTTATCAATGAAGCTTATATTTCATAAAGTACATAGAATGATCATAAAAATTGCCATTGAGTTATGGGTGGAAACATTGTGCGTAGAGGTTTTGTATAGCTATTTAATAAAAACATCAAGTTTTTCAGTTTATGAACAAATTATATAAAATTTGTCACATTACATCCAAATGAGATTAGCAAGGACATGAGAATTTTTATTCAATTGTTGAGTTTCAATTAAAGGAGAATTTTACGAGAAATTATTTGAAGTGGACATTATTTTACTCATTACAATAAGTGCAAAATGATGCTAAGCAACATTGTATTGTTTGCATATGGATTGTTGTGTACGATAGTTTAGAAATTATGTATTTATTTTATTCATTTGATCATCATTTTGATCTATTTGAGATATAATAAACCTTTTGAACGTTAAACTATTTTACAAATTGATGCAAAGATTTTTGTGATTTTATGAAAAAAAAATTATTTTGATTTTATAAATCAATCATATTGTTTGAAAAAAATTATGAAAAAAATAAAATGTGACTTATTGAAACAAAAACTAAAAAAAGTAATTTTTGTTCATGTATACATAAATATCTTGAAACATTCAACAAGTGTCAAAAAATTATATTAAATGACCAAATCAAAATTTTATAATCATTTATCATAAGAAATAAATTATTTTATATATCATCAGTAGTTATCTCAGTGATTTTAAGCACACAAGATGATAATTTATTTTGAGAAATTTTAAGAAAATTTTATTTGCAAATTTTTATAGTTACAAGTAAATAAGCTCTTAGTGTGATCATGTTGATAGACTTGCAAAAAAAATAATCAAATTCAAACAAGGAGCATAAAAGTTGAACTGTTTTTTTAAATGAAACGTGATACTTGATACTATTGTGAAGAATGGTATCATGAAGTGGTATTTTTTTTTATGTGAGAGTATTGATACATAGTGAATTTGTAAATTACTTAAAAACTTTATTTGAGATCAACAACTTTATAAATAAATAAGCATACTTCAACTAGTTGTGAAGTATTAGAGTTATGACTAGTATACAAATGTATAATTGTCTTTTAAGAATCTAGTTAGAAATTCACATGATAAGATTTAAAAATAAAATAAAATTGACATTATATAATTTAACTTCAAATTTATAACAAACACCATTGTAAGAATGATTGAAATTTGTTTGATACAGATAAAAAAATCATGTGTTTTGACAAAGATAAAAGTATGTCAAATTTTTAGATTTATTGATTCATTTTATTTATTATTGATGAATTATTTTAAAATAGAGTTAGTATTCTTTGTGCTCTATTATGAAAATTTATATAATTAATTAAAATATTGAATTTTATACTAAAAAACATTCCAGTAATTCAGAACTGAAAAATTAAATATGAAAAAGAATGATGCAAAAGATTACATGTGTTACAATTTTAGCAAAAAATTAAAATTTTTAATAAAAAATAAATTTTCATTTTGTTCAATTTCTTTCTAAATTTTTTCATAAAATTTTTAAAATTTTTTAAAAATTACTGCATCAGAAAAAAAATATGAAAGTTTGACAAAACATAAATAATAAATTTATACACATGGAATTTTTTTAATAAAATATATATGATCATTTTTATATATAAAAATTAGAAAGTAATATCATTCATAATAAAAAGTTGAATTCACAATTGTGTTGATAGCAATGAAAAAAGAATTTGAAAATCAAATGAAATCAAATGAAATTTTCTTTGATGAAAATCAAATTATGCTAATAGAAAAAATTAAACTTGGTAAAAAAACTTAATTTGAAACAAGCAAAGAGAGATGTAAAAAAAAATCTTTTTATGTTATGATTATAAACAAACTTACTAATAACGGAGTAGATTGTTGAAATGCCAATGCTTAACAATGGCGTATAACATGATGAAAATTGATGAATCCAACAACGTAAGATTAGCTTCATATCAAACAACATATAAAAGAAATATGACATAATCAAAAATAAAAAAAATTACACGTTAGAAAATGCGTCAAACATCTACTCTTGAAAGTGTGAGTCTCTAGAATCATTAACCCGTCACATTCTTTCGCTCTCCCCTCTACGCTTCCCTTACGTTTATTGTATTTGTTTACTCAACCTTGTTCTCGGGCACTTGCTTATCAGTAGAGTCTGAAGAAAACATTCAAAGCGTTGCTAGACTCGTGTGTAAACCGGGCATGCTAGGAGCCACATACAGTTACGATCCGACATGGCGCCATGCTTATGTGGCAGTACACGAGTTTTGCGCCAATCCTCGCAAAGTGTGGCGCACCTCCATCCAGGCTGTACCTCATCATTGCCGTATCATCTTCTGACTTGTAATCAGGATTAGCAGAGCGGTCGGACCCCAATCGAGACGAATATGGAGAAAACCCCCTGACGTACTTCCATTGTATTATATTTTATATTAGCCATGTTCCTTGTTACTTAAACCCCCCTACTCTTCGATCACGGCGTGCATGGATTGGCCCTCCATTGGAAATCGGCGCCCGCGTTCATGTATGCCAGCCACCATGCGGTCAGTACACATGCCAACTCCAAGAGGCTTCAATATACCCCCGTCGAAAATTACGTTTGACACTGGTACTCATGCGCAAATTGTATCGTGAGTCGAGCCCGATCATCTTGCAGGTCGAGCCCGACAAGATGAATGGTGAAGGATCTCGAAGTGCAAATTCTCCTTGTTCATATATCTTTGCGCATGGGGCAATGACGCAGTTAGTAAGGTGAAACCGAGACGCGTCAATTTCTGGTTGAAAACTATTTCCAATTTCCATATTGTGTGAGGAATGCGACTCTGCCTTGAGTCTTGCCCAGGGTCCCTTGTAATGTTTGAAATCCGGCAATATATTTGCTCTTGCCATTTGTCCGGCTGCTACCGATCAATCCTCTAGACCACGGTCCCATATTCCTTGCAATCTACGTTTCATGAGAATACCGACCGGCGCCACGTCGTCTCACACGCTTCTGGGGTTCGACAAATCCATCTGCAATCTGCAATTACGGTGGAATTAGAAATATTCTGACCGATTGGAGTTGTGTGGTCAAAGTCTTTCTGTCTGACTTTCAGTGTCAGTCTTCGATCTGGTCCGAGTTCCAAGAGGAGTTTTGATGGTGGTCATGTCCATGGTCCCCGTTTGATTTCAGACTGTTTTCGACGTGAGCCGATGCGATCGATCGGGTCAAAAGCGTCGAGTTCCATCCACAGTCGCGACATTTTTGCAGGAGAGTCGACTCGCCATCTGGCTGAGCGTCCTGGTTTCGCGTGAATTCCTCATACAAGATGGCCATTCAGATCTATGGATACGCCGGATCTACTTGCTGCGGACGAGTTCTGCTGACTCTGTTCGAGAAGAATGTCGACGACTACAAAATTTCCCATGTCGACCTGTACAAGCGGGAGCACAAGAGCCCCGAGTTCCTGAAGCACCAGGTACAGCGAGCGCTCTCCAGAATTCCCCAGTTTGTTCTTGTCCTGCCCGGTCTCTCATACTCGCGCAACTCAGATATCGAAACTTGGAATGGGTCCAGACTTTCTACTGGCTTCAGGCCGACTGGACATGAGAGTCATAGCAGACAGAAAATGGCCCCATTGTTCAACACGATGGACAAAGAGTGAGCAGCAGGACTACGATGCGCAATCCGAATGGGATTGGCAGTACGGAGTTTGGATCTGCATTTTCATGGGAGACGAGTAATTCTATCGAAGCTCCTCGTGTTATCATATTATTGGAACCGACATCCCTCGGACCTTTGACAATCTTGAAGGTAAGACTCGCACGCACGCACGCACCTCAGTGCATGCGAGTCTTGCCTTCAGCTCCTAGTTCCTCCTTACCTCCGGTGATTGATGTTGCTCTTCGTGGCTATTGTCGGTATCAGACCGAGAATATGCAACTTGTTATTCTTCAGTTTCCTGCTCATGTGAAGGTTCCAGGCGAGGACAGGCCAAAATGGCATGCTTAGGACTCAGTCTGCGACTGTCTACTGCACCGAGCTCGTCCTCACGCGGGTTACCAGGGCAGACGCTGTGAATATGACATGGTTCTGCGGAAGTTCTCATGGATTAGAAGTCCTCGACATTGTTCTGCTCACAACTAGTGCTTAACATCTGAGCGGGAACTCATTCATTTTAGTTCCTTATCGAACGAATCCAAGATCAAGATGTAAACTTTGAATCTGACAATAATTTGGCTCCTGTCCGTCGTCGCAGCCTTTCGGTGAAACCCCGTACGTAATCGACGGAGACTTGACTCTTTTCGGTAAGTTTACTAATTCAAGAGCCTCCGAATCTTGCACGGTGAAAAATGGTCATGGAAAATGGAGTCCGACTGCACTCGCTGAAGGATTATGGTCGCTTGGTTTGTCACAGAATCTCGCGCCATCGCCAGGACATATGCACGCAAATATGCGGACCGGGGCACGGCTCTGTACGGGTCGAGCCCACAGGAAGAAGCGCTGGTCGAACAATGGTTGGAGGTCGAGGCCCAACATTACGACTCAGCAATCTCGAAAATCGTCTACAATCTGCTCTTCTATCCCAAGTTCGGCTTGCCCTGCGACCATGGTGTCGTGGCCGAGCAGATGGCCAAGTTCGAGGCTGTTTTGGATGTGTACGAGAAGAGACTGTCCGAGAGCAAGTACTTGGCTGGCGATTTCTTCAGCCTCGCTGATCTGTCCCACATCACCTACACTTACTACTTCATCGAGATTGCCCACAGAGGAGCCGTCTTCGACTCCCGCCCTCACGTCAAGGCATGGATCGCTGACCTCTTTGCTCGCCCGACTACCCAGAAGTGGTTGAAGCTGGGAGGACATATCCCATGAGTATCCATCGAGGTCCACGTGAATTACAGTTCATTGATGATTCAGATTCCAATCAGTGGAGAAATGAGACGTGAAACACACTCTTTAATTTAGTATCCAGTTCACTGGGTTGAACAAGTTGTAAGAACTAGAAGAGTCGTGCACTCACTCGGATTCGAACGCAATGCTTCTTTCATCGGGATATTTCCAGGGCATGGTTGCAGGTAAGCTTCATGCACGATGCTTCATGGATTTGCTGCGTGCGGTAGGAACTCTGGACTTTCAGCACGCCTCTTGAACCCGCTAACTACAAGCTGTATTGTCAAGTGATTCCTCGCTCTCCCCTGTATTCTTCAGAATGGCGTGAATATGTCATTGATAAGTTTCCTTACATTCTAGTGCTTATCTGCAACCTTGAGACTCAGATTACAAAGTTGCACTCGAATTGTGCATGCTGAGTTCTAAAGCATATTGTTCGAAGTTATTATTCCCTGTAAAGAATATATACTTACATGATTAAATATTTGCATGTGTGGTGTTCATCTCACATCATCATACATCTGATAGCGAAACAAAGCCTGAAAATGTCTTGAAATGTTCGATACAGACATGATGAAAATTCAAATCTACGCATGTAAGAAATGAGACAAAGAATAAAAAACGAAACATATTGAACATGGATAATCAATAAATGATTGTTAAATCATGTACACGTTATGTTAGTAGGGAGACATACTCTCAAATAGCACTTAGAGCCAATTTTGGAGTTAGCGTAGTTTGTATGGGAACGGGAACAAGATAAAGTTTACAGTTATGTTAGGAGACCTGATGCTTATTAAAATTTGGATGAGTACTGTTGAATGTTCAATTTTTTGAAATTGAAATTTTGAAAGAGTGCTACAACATCAACGAGTAAATAGTGCAAAACTTAAAATATTTGAAGCATGAAGTGGATGAGACTCCTCTATTATCTATTTTTTCTTGACATGGTGATGAGCCCCGTGGTCTAATGGATTCTTTGAAAATATAAAAGACTAGTTTGTGATACACTTGTGTTAATGTATTAATGTATGTTATCACGGAACATATATTTTAGCGCTTCATTATCAATATTTCAAAAGTAATCCATATAAACTACTTCAAATTGAAGAGCTTCTCACTTGAATATGGTAGATAAGGGATCACACTCTTGGATAGAAAAGATTGGATGCAAAACCTAATTTTACTGGTAAACAGATATTTATAATTATCTATGATTTGATCGAATATTCTGTTAGACAGATTAAAAGTCCTATGAGTTCTCGTTGCATATTTGTTTGAATGTTCAAATCTTGACATTTATATATACTAATATTTGAAAAAAAAACATATCATATATATGAGAAGATTTATTATAGAGCTAGAAGAGTTCAACATTGGATGTACATGTCTATGGGTTTTAGATGTCCATGGATTTAGACATTGTTGTTCATGGATGAATAAGTATGATCATTGTTTCGAAGGTGGGTATAGATGTGCATAACTTCCAAATGAGTACGTAATTCATGACCACCATGTAGGTTTCAACGATTAAGATCGATTAGCACGCACGACAGTCACAAAATCAAAATCTGGTTATCTTCCATAGGCTACGTCCAAAGTCAAGAGTAGCAAAAATACAAATGTATATCCAATCTCCATAGCCAAGCTCTCTTCCTTCCCGCTCACTCTCAAAGTGCAACTTTGAACTATACGTAGTAAATGTCTACTAATTTTTTTTTTACAGTAAGAGATAAGGGGCACATCTTAGCTAACCTAACCACAGTTAACCTTCCAAACTATGATTATTGCTAAATGGAATTAATACAAGATAGAGTTCACCGAACACATCAACACTACTTAAAACTTGGATACTAATTTATTTTTCATGTCAATGCAATATATTAGCATGACACTTGTCACTAGTGTTGAACTTACAGAGTGCAAGAAATGTGTGCAATGCGAAAGTTAAATCGTTTCATGCTTGCATCAGAAAATACTTATGAATCTTCAAGATACTGATTCTTGAGATTTTACCTGCAACTATGTTATTGAAATGGAGATATCTAGCTTTAATTCACTAAATGCACAAGTGATCGAGAAGTAACTAATGAATACAATACCTAATTACGAAGATAATTTATTTTTGCTGCGCAAGAACGGTTTTAGTTTGCATTGTGCTTTTTATAAAAAGTTTGGCATTGTGCATTAACATGGTAAAGATTGCGAGTACATCATGCTTCATGAAAGTAATCACGTTATTAAAAAACCACAAATATCAGCATCATGACTAATCATAAGTGTTTTAAGGCTTAGAGATCAAAGATTGAAGTAATGAACGTATTAGCAACAAAGTGCATATTCACTACACATGATAACAAGAAGATGACATTTGCGGATGTCAATTTCTTTGCGATTGACCTTCGACCATTTGAATTGATAGTCGAACAAGGCTTGAAAAGACTTTTTCAAACAACTCCGAACATTAGTGTTGTAAGCAATAAGTGATTCATGGTTTTCAGCTGGTTGTGACGTCAAACGCAATATAGAATCTCATGCAATGAATGTCAAAGCATCTTTAAAAACACATTGATATTAATGTATTGATGGCAAGCACCGTTGATCTTTGGACAAATAGTATCAAGAAGATAGCTTACATATCTATCACTGCACATTACATCGATGAAGAATTTGCTATGTTTGATCAAACATTGCATGTGAAGCTTGTTCGAAATGAGAACCACAATGATGTTATGGTTTTGAACAAATTCAAAAAAGTGGTGAACATCTTTGGTTTCAAGAATTTGGTGTTTGATAAAATCACTATTATGGCAGATTGTGAATCAAACATCATTTTAAACGAGTTTGACTTGTTATGATGCATTGATTATAAGATCACAAATTGTCTGATCTACATATTCAACAAGACTACAAAACATGTTGATGATAAGAAGAACAAGCATTTTTTATCATTATTTTGATGAGACCAATATAACGGCTTTATACATTCTCATTCATAAAAGCGCAAATTGTCTTACCTACATACTCAACAAGAGTTCAATACAGATTGATGGTAAAAAGAGCAAATCTTTCTACCAATATTTTGATACTTTTTATACAGCTATATACACTCTCATTGACTCTTGTAAGAGTTTGATCGCATACTCTTTGATGAAAATATTATCAAACAAGTTGAAATCTGTTATGTTACTGCTTGCTTGATGTTTTTTAAATGTTAAGTGAAGTGATCTATCAACTAAAGTAGAAAGTTGTCTCTTTCTTATAAATCTGGTTGAAACAAGTAAAAGAAATGACTTTTTGTCATCATCTTAGAAAACAATTTTGTATCTTGAACAATTCAAAAAACATACACTGCAAAATGTTATATTTTGACAAATTCATTTGTTGAAGAATCTAAAATTTATTATCAATAATGTGATTAATGACGTTGGTGCCGTCAAAATGAACGAAGATTCCCTTTTGATCATAGCTTGTAAATGTCTCTTGACCTAATGAAGGTAATATTGAGTTTCAAGGGGTAGTGGTGTATTTCAAAATTTTTTTACTAGTCATCACCTTGTTAGCACCTACATAGAATACAAGCTATTGACTCGTCATATGAATGCAAACAGATTGTATAGATACTCCTCCTGAATTTCGGATGCATATCTTTCTGAGAGTGAGATAATGTCAGCATAGCTAGCTTGTACATACCAAGGGTTTGGCCTTCTAATCCTTGTTGAACTCTTTAGGTCACAGTATGAGGTCAACGAATGTTTGTTGACGAAGTCAAGGAAAGGAGGTATCGACTATGTAAGTGATTGGATAGTTGCATCTGGCTGCTCACACCACCTAACCAGTGATATTACTAAGTTTGTGTAGCTATGAAAATATGTTGGCAATGATGTTGTCGTCACGGCTGATAATTCAGTACACCCCGTGGAATACATTGGTGATTTGAGAGTTATCACTACCAAAGGAAATTTTCATATATTGGAAGATGTATATCATGTTCCAGGAATGAAGAAGTATTTGATATACGTTCCACAAATCACAGATGCAGGCCATTATGTGCTATTTGATCCAGACTGTGTTACAGTACTAGCAAATGCAAAGGTTCGTGGTGAGATTTTAATGGAAGGAAAGAAGATGAAGAAGTTGTATGTATTATCTGCTGGTGAAACATAGGTTGATAAAATACATCAACATGAGACAACTGATCTTTGGCACGCTCAATTGACGCATGTGAATTATTCTCGCTTGGAGGCAATGATGAAGAAAGAGTCGGTGCTTGGCTTATCAAATTTGAAGACTCGTAGTGGCGGAGTTTGTGATGGCTGCCAATTTGGCAAAGCACATAGGCAACCATTTGGCGATTACTAGGTACGGTCTTAGAGACCATTACAAACTATTCATTCAGACTTGTTTGGAAGAGTCCATACCCCTTCTTGTTCGAGAAAGCGCTACATGCTCACATTTATTGACGATTTTTCTCTACATGTGTGGGTGTACTTTTTGGTAGAAAAATCTGAACTTCTGGTATACACCAGAAGTTCGTTGAGTTCAAATGTCTGGTGAAGAATGAACTCAATCAAAGAATTGCATGCTTAAGGATCGACAATGGAGGAGAATATACATCAAAAGATTTTGAGAACTACTTAGTAGAGCATGAGATCCGCCACCAGTTTACGTGCTTGTACATTCCCCAACAAAACGGTGTCGCCGAAAGGAAGAATATGCATTTGAGCAAGACTTGTAGAAGCATGAACCATGCAAAGAATGTATGGCGAAAGCAGCACGTGTCATAAATCGATTGCCTCAAGCAAAACTTGGTCGCTCAGATAGATTCGCGCAAAAAGAAGAGTCTACTAGAAAAAAGTGACGAGGAAGAATGGGATGTTCAAGCTTCATATGCAGCCATTGAAAGCGAACACGAAGAAGTGGATTTTGCTTTCACTTCAATAATCGAAATATGTGTTTAATAAAGGGATAATCTCTCCTTATTAAACACATATTAATTTTGTCAAAATATCTCTTAGTAAAGATGTAGCCACATTTTAGCCTTGCCTCCACAAGGCTCATTTACTACATTTTTTATTTTGCATGCTGTGAAAAGTGGAAGATTATAGGAAGTAAACTTTAGATTGAAGTCACGTTCAGGCGTTTGCACGTAGTGATGTAACTATCTTTAGTTAGAACTAAAGTAATGGTTACTCTAAATGTTAATATATATACTTTAGCGTGCATTAGTCATAGCGCCACGTCAGCGATCTGTGTAAATGGTAAGAGATGGGCCACTAAGCTCAATTATTCAGCTGCGAGCCTTTCGTCAGGTATCAATGGCCTTCCTCCGAACCGGACGTGCAAGATTTCCTCGCATACGGCTTTCCGAGTGAATCCTCGGGCTCTCGAAGGCCCTTTGGGCCGAGCTTTTGACCTGGACTATCAGTGGCCTTCCCTTATTCCCCTTGGCGCCCGCTTCTTTCGAGGGGGTGCTAGGTAAGTTTGAAGTCTATGCAATCCAATTACGAGAGTCCTACCGGATTCTCTCCCACCTAATATGAGGCTGGTAGCCCGGGCTACACTTTCCTATTGAATAGACTTCATTTCTTGCCGTCATACTTCCCCTGGTGGATTTTTAGATGACAGGTCCGACACACCGGAATTTGTTTCCGGTTGAGCTGGACCATTAGTTTTGTGAGGCCATTCGCCTTCGATTTGCGTTTGGCAGGAATGGAATTGATGTGTTAATTGACAACACCACGTTAGCAATCTGTGTGCTTGTTAGGTAAGAATTGAGTGTGTTACTTGGTAGTGTCACGTCAACAAACCGTGTGCTTCCTAGTGTTATCCGTCACGTTATATATCCAATAGAAATGAGATGGATGGTGTGGATAAGATTTTATCTCCTTGTATTTGTTGGTGAGAGAAGAATCATTGTTGTTATTTATCATTTTCAGATTTTATGTTTTCATCTTCGAGTGAACTTCTCTATAAACCCTAATGTTACAAATTACTCACTTGAAATTCAAGTGAAATTATCTTTTATTATCAAAATCGTTTGAATAAAGTTTGCAAATCCTAGTCAAATTGCTTTTAAGTCAGGGAATTTCTTATCTGTAAAAATAAAAAATAACATCATGTTTGCTTTGTACTAGAACGTAACACTATGTATAATCAAATCAAGGCCAAAAGGTACTTAGTACAAGAGAATATGTTACTTCATTTGGGAGTAACATTTCTAGATATTGTCATATGAAGAATTATATGAAGAAGATAGATATTTTCAACGCTTTAATTTCTAAGGTGAAAGCAAAACTAAAGACACTTATGATTGATTGACATATGACAGTACTTTACAAATTTGGGTCACGAGAAAGATGATGCTCTGAACCATCAGAAAAGATCATCGTACCGATGAAACGACATCTATGTCCGATGAGTTTGAGTAAGAGTTAGAAGAGATTCATGTCAATGAGCTTAAAACTTAGTTGTTGGCATGCATACAATGTCACTTGTCTAAAAAAAATGAGATTATTGCAAAAGTGAGCTCAATATTTTCAATGAATTGGAATATCACTGCAAAATTCAATATTCTTGTGATAGAAACAGAAAGTAACCTTCACATTCTCATCATGTCGCGAGTTTCGGGTTCGGTTTTGTGCATGCCACATCAAGCTCCAAATCGGAATCAAACTTATTGGATGCATGGAATACGATAACACAAACAAAAGTTCTTGCATGGCTCCGGGTTGAAGCCAGCAACATTTAAGTACTTTTGTTTGTGAGATTCAACCAAGATTTGGGCAATATACATTACACAATTTTTGCATAAGCGGAGCAATTTCAATAGCATAGGTGCGAAAAGGTAATACTATAAGTGGGCATAGGTTATGATTTGGATAGGGGTAAAAGTTTGTAGTAAAATCTTCACCTCTAGATAGCAAATAAATGATTGTGAATAATCCACCTTATTAATAAGAAAGATCATCAAGCTCAATGCCTAGTATTATTCTTATTCGTGAAATGGCATGGTACATGACAATGGACACATGAAATTATGTCTTCAAAGGCATTCAAAAAGTATCAAAAGAATAAACCACCCTTTAATTGAAATACATCCAACCTCTCGGTTTCTGTCATGCGACCAGAAAAGTGTTGATGTTTAATGGCGGTTTAATTGTGGGTCGCTACAGTTGGGCAAGGCCTCTCCTATCAGGACTTTCGGTGGTTCTCAGCGCTAATTTGGCTTTCGGTCTTCCATTGTTTTCTTGAATCAAAACTTGTCCGTCTGGCTTCAGCAATTGTGATTGTAACCTCTGACAGTTCTCTAACCAACACCGTGATTATCAACAAATGCATTCAACGCTGCAAATTATTTCTCCATACAAAACTGAACAGACAATTGCAGAACCGACATCGACTTTCCCAGGCATTCCTATCAAACTTACTGGTTGTCATTATTATCGCATGCTAACAACGACCGATATCACCCGCAACCATCAGGGCAGTTTCATGCAAGGCCCTCTCGCAAGCTCATTTGACATGTGTTGAACTTAGAAGGTGCAACAAACTGGGGGACAACTCGAAAACAACAATTTCCTAGATTACGCACTGCGAGAGCTGCCTCATACACTCCTGCATATCCCGTTGACAGTCAGACAAAAGCGGTGAAGATGTCTGAGTCTTACACTCGGCTGGGTTCAGATCCGGTTGGAGTACAGATCTGGACTCTCTTTTCAGATCATGTGCTCTGTCGCATGGGTACAATTTGTGTGCGAGAATCGAGCTTTTAACATTTCACGAGTGATCAAGACGTTGTTTTTATGTCCAGCAGGGAGTTGAGAACAACGTGATCGACGGGAAGGTGACGTCTGAGATTCTCGTGCCATTGGGCCACATTATGCACTAACCTACATAAAAAATTGTAAAAACTGATTCCCTCTTTTTCCCTGACGTCAGAGTTGAAGTGTCCAGACAGCGACCTTCCAAAAATTAGGAGATGACGATCACAGCAATCAGTGCTGGAAGCGTAGTTCGTTCTAAAAAAAATCACATCACAGCAGTTGTGCAAGTAACCAGCTACCTCGCGGAACCTGAAGTCGTGGTTTCATCCTATTCCTAATGCACCAAAAGACCACCAAACTCTTACATGGCTGATGCTTTACTGCCTGAAGGGGGGCAGCATCAGCTGCCGATCCCAGCGCTGGCGATTCAAATCTCAGTATAACTTTCAAATGCACCACCTAAATGACAGTGAAGCATTTGTACAACTCAAGGAGCGACATCCTTCTTCCCCATTTATACTATACCAATAACAGGGTGGGGAGTGACAGAAGCAACTTAAATGTGCTTCTACTATACTCGAAATGAACGGTCCTCACCCAGGGACTCATTGCATTCAAAACAAAACATGACTTTCCATCCGCTGGTCAATATAAAATTCTGGACTTGGATCCTATTCGACGAACAGAATAGCTCCTCCAACCCATCTAATCTGCACATTGCAAAATTACAGATGAGACTCGCACCCTGCAATATCGTCTCCTCCGACTGATATAAGTTTTCAACTAGCCCAAATTAGAGATACAGCCAGCTAGCCAAGTACAAGTACAGCGGTTTGTGTTTTTACAAAAGTTTGGCATATTCTCTTTCCCTTAGACTGAATTTCGACCCGAAAAAAGTCGCTAATCCTTCCTATTACAGACGGAACGAACAACCGCTCACGGTGATTGAGATTCTCAGTCGAATATCTGCAGAACAGGCTTACCAGACGAGACACAGGCATCCAACATGCCCCCTCTTCTTTGACCAAATTCTCGTGAGTTCTGTGCCTCTAGCAGATCAACTACTGGGACAGGTATGAGGATGAGCATGTTTTGTTGTCTATCAACTTACCGCATAAAGAAACAGGGTTTAAGCATTTTAACAACTTTGCCTATCCAATAAATCGGTCAAAAACTGTCGATCACACGCAAAAGAAGTGCATACAACTCATCTTTGAACTTGACTCACCTCCATCAATAGGATTTTCCACAATGTATTAAACTTCCAGCTCCCAAGAAAAGGCCAAAAACCGCAGCACTTCCTAGAGTTGTTTGCCCAATGTAGCGCACCTTCAACAAACCTGGTACCTGCAACACGTCATCATCATTACAGGCAGCACATATGAATGCAATCAACCACACGCTGACAAACCAGAAACATTGTCAAATCTACAATATACGGCTCGCTGCGTGATCCCGGAAAACGTTTCATTCCATGCTCTTGTGGCCTTTAACACATTGCTGTGATAGAGTTTAACTTTATAACTCGAAGTGTTTGGCCTCCTCAATGTATCCTGTTCGCAAAAATTTGCAAAATAATCCTCAAGTAAAGATCTGTGGGATAAAAACTCAGAGTCACTTGCATAGAGGTCATTCTACGAAGATCACCATGTCCGTGACTGAATACATGATCATGTTCACCACAACTCGAGACACACTCATCCAAAAGACTCAAGTGGGGCACTGCACTACGATATTGAATACTTGAGTGATACAGATGTAGGACCCATTCGAACAGGAAGATGACGGGACTGCAAATAATCAAGCGTTTACCAGTTGTTAAATGATGGTGCACAGAAAACGCGTTACAGGTGTAAACGTACGAACAAGTTCATTCTTTGGACTCCTGATTGTATTCTACAGTCCAGCCCATGAAGGCTGATAACTTTAAGAGGAGCCTTGCGCAGGGAAAAAAACAGTGCAAATATTACAGCATTGGTCATTTCGGTCCCGTCAACTTAGCAGAATCGACCAGTCATCTGATCATAGATGTATCTCAAATATAGAGAGCTCTTTTTGGAGCTCTCTATATTTAAGATACAAAAAAGAGCTTTCATTCTCACTTTGCTCCAAGATATCTTAACCTTCATGGTGCTTGTTACTTCCATAGTGCTTCCCCACATAGGAAGCTGTGTATTGTACGTACATTATCTCGGTGTAGCAGATGACCTTCCACAGTGCTCAAGAAAATTTAGTCCTGCTTTTCAAACTGACAGAAAATGTCTTCTAAACATATGCTTCAAAGCAAACCGTTTACTTGCTTCAACTCGCCCCATTCCTCCAGCCAACGTGATTCAAATGAAGTTGTGATTTCCCAACACTCTTCAGAAATTCGTGCAGCAGAAGAATCCGTTCTTTCTTATTATGTGACTAAAAGAGAATGTGAACACTTGATTCCATTCATTCATCCTTCACGATCGGTGTTGTTAAGCTTTACTTCAGATGCTGGGGTTTCTCCCAACCATAGAATAACATCGATAAACAACATTCAAGTCCTTTCACAGAGACCACTTTTGCATATTTTTAAGGCTAGCAGACATGAAGTTCAAAAACCGTAACCAGTAGAACCTACAGCTCTGCCTTGCTGAAATTAGGTCAAATCAGGAAACATAAGAGGACCAGCGGCATCACTCACCTTAAACCTAAATGCTTCATAGGTTCCATAAACTGCACCTGCGACAGCAACACCCAATTCCCAGCAACAAAAGTAAGTGATCGAGCGTCTAAAGAATTGTACAGCTGCTCCGAAATGAATTTCAAGTCACTGCAATCACCCCACCTTTCAAAATGGCCAGCTAAATCATCAAGTACCACGGCTGGACGATTTAGCCCTAATGTAGAGCAAGAAACATCAAGAAATTACTACCGAAAAACAAACGACGGTTCCTTCCCAAGTGAATCAGCATTCTCGCCACAATTTAAACAGACTGGACTCCAAAGAACGCACCGATCTACATCCGCCACAAATTCCCTCCCAACAACAACGAAAAAGCCCACGACAACCACCAAAGACAGCACGAAACGTACCGATAGCACCACCAACTGCACCGCCCACAGCGACACCGGCGGTAACGCGAGCCAAGCAATCTCTGGCCATCTCTACCCTTCCCGGTCGCGCAGGACTAAGCGAGATACGAGAGAAAAGCTCGTGGTCGCGAAGGCGGAGACGAGCTACCGGTAAGAGTAGAGGGACAGATCGAGCAGTCCGGTCCGATCGAAAACCTCTATCCCCCCTTCCGCACTGCAGCCCCAATACCCACTTGCACCACGGCTCCAAACTGGAGGCACCGCCAAATCCTTACCCCCACCAGTTTAGAGCCAGAGTTCTTTTATGAAGAAACTCCTCACCCTTGGAACTAGCCCCAACTTACCCACGCCCCTAAATCCAGCGGCACCTGAAACCGGCTTAATAAGGCGTAATAGAGGCGTAATTGAATAGTACAATAGGGCCTACAATAAGCCCTACACTGCCCCAAGCTCAACCCCAACCACAGCGACGAGGGGCTTATTTACCACTGCTGTAACGGGGGGTCGGGGCTGTTAACCCCAAGCCCAATTGTGGGGAAAATGGATATGCGGATGGAGAGATGGCCAGGGGGCGAGTGGCCAGGGGGAATGACGAGAGCAGCAGCAGTGAGCTCGGGATGGGTTGAAGAATACCATGATGGGAGAATAGCTTTCAGGTGGGCAGTACCCACAAAAGCTTCGGAGCATTATCGTTAAGGAATGTTCAGATTCAGCCGGGCATGTTAGTTGTGCTGACAAAGGTCGAGTTTCCGTAAAGATCTTGCTCGTCAGCTGCTTCCACACCACGCCCCATACTGTCTGGGGTTTCTGTCAGCGGCGCTTGTGTACTGATTTGTTTATATTATTGCAAAAGGAGGACGGAGCGAGTCGAAGGGAGATGAGATGAGTACTGTTCGGATCTGGACGTCAGCCTTCGCTTGCAGCTGCCGATTGTTTATGAATTTTTCGATCCGAATGCTAAGCTGCAAGCGAGATGCTGCCCATGGCTCCGAGTTTAGGGCGACAGGAGGTGCGAGAAGGCCAAGGGTTCATTCTTTACTCGTGGATTAATTTAGTATGCAATAAACGACGCGTTTGTTGGGATGGCGATGGTGGAGGCGCTGATGGACAATCATCGATGAGTTCTCGATCGTATCACAGAATAGAACAGAACAGTACTTGCAAGAGGCCGATCTCACCAGCCCCGGGCATCGGCGCACGAGAGATGGAGATGTGGAAAGCAAGCGATTGAGAAGCGATGACGATCCCAGCCCCCCCACCTCACATGCGAGGGGAGGCTTCGTCTCGCTCGCTCGCTCACTACGGAAAAAGCGAGATTCCATAGAATTCCTCGCAGAATTCTATGGAAGAAAGAAATCCACAAATAAACATCGAACACCGACTGTCCCTCTTCTCGTCCGGATCTTTGAGCTTCTCTTTGGGCTCTCGCTCGTCGTCGTTGTGTGGGGAGGAGACTCGTGAGGAAGTCCTCAAGAGTACGATCAATGGTCGGTTTGTAGCTTGTGTCTCAAAAGAGATGGTGACGCTTGCGCTCACATGCCACCCATTGCAAGACTCCAAACCTCACCCTAGAGAGAGAGAGAGCTTGGAGGCTTGGAGCCCATGCCTGACGAGGCTCTTTTACGAGCTGCACCAACTAACGGATTGCTGAGTGCGCGTGGAAAGGGGGAGGGATTTGTTCTCGCTCTCCTCTCCGCACCGACTTTGAAGAATGTCGGACTGTCAGGAGCTTGACTTCGAGTCGAGCAATTAATTAGTGGCTGATTAAAGGACCGGGTGCGCTTTCCGTCTATGTTTAGAAGCGCCATGTGGAGAAGGGGATCAGACGATGGGGAAGAAACAAGGTTGCTGAGGTGCAGAGGGCTCCCTTCGAGAAGCGTGAAGCTCGACCTCACGTGCACCGAGTTCTCGTCTCTCGCCTCCTTCAGCTGAAACACCTTCTCTGACAGCCCGTCTCCATCCGAAGCTCATCTTTACAGCTGGTTTCGAGCTCGAGCACCGTCTTGTTGGTTTGTCACCATCATCGATCGGAGGGAGCAATAATTTAGGTTTGCGCTAATGGGAGCCGCTGAGTCGCGTCGATCGATGGTGTTATGACATCAATCGTTCGGAGCTTTGCCTGCCACGGTAGGTGGTCTCACATGAGTGAGGCACTCGAGTGCCGATTTTGCACCCTCTTTCGGGCACCAATCGGGTATGGCGACGCTTGAGTTCACGGGCCAGTGAATCCTCACTCGCCGAGTCGACAGCCCTTCATTCCGCATGCCAGAGCAGTCCCCCATCTCTGACTGGCAATTCCGCCTACTCGATGGGGGGGAGGGGGAGAGAGATCAGATCAGAACCCGTTCCTGCCCCCCCAGCCTTTGCAGCCACCTCCTTATCCCTTTGACTCTTCCCCTGGGCCTCCTGCTCCCCTCCCTCCTAACCATGTCCCTGCCACCAAGAGCGCCAGCAGCTGCAGCATCAGCAGCAGGTGGAGATTCTCAAGGTCGTTGTGTACCTGATGGACATGGATCATCGATCAGCTCTCGTTTGAAGATTTGCTCGTCGTCTCGTGTCAATCTTCACCGTGCGTGCCATGCATTCGAGATCTAAATCTTCTGAATCTCCTCCGTCACGTCGACCTCTGTAACAGCTCAAGATCATCATATCCTCCTCTCCTCTGTCCCATCAGCGTTCGGTTCTGATTCGTCAGAAACTAGATTCGAGTCCCCCCCATACATCATTAGAAATAACGTGCCCGCTGTGGCGTCCACGCAAGATCCCGAATGCTGGTCAGGGCCTCAGGTGATCGATCCACAGACCCCTTTGGACTTGCCATTCGAGCCTTCAGGAACAACGACGTGCTCAGTCAGAAGGGCCATCGAGTGGCACCTGAATGCTCGTGAGAAAATGCATTCCAACAAAACCAAACGGCGCCTTCGTAAGCGAAGGAACGAAACCGGGGGCTCGTTGAATGTAACGCGAATTCACAGACTTGCTGCTAGCGGTCGAAAAGGCCTAACTTCGCAGCTGAAATTGGTCATTCGACCCCGATCAATTTGGGCTCTGAAAGCATGCGGCTGCTGTGGTTGCTCCGTTAAAGGGCCAATAGTAGTGTTTCGATTGCGAACCGAAAACCAGAACCGACTTAACCGACGAATTGTTTAGTGGGAAGATTCAGTGCACTGGAATGGAATATCTACCGTCGACATCTCCATCGAAAACCTCAGAGCAAATGACGAGAGCTATACAAACAAGGCGAGCAGAACGCCGGCACGACGGACGGTAGAAGCCCAACCGTGGAGGCTGCGACGGGAACCGGGGGTTGGAGGACCGGGGGGGTTATAACAAGCACTTTACACGCATACACAACAATATGCTCTTCTGCATCAGCTTTACAAAAGACAGATTCGGTCACGCAAACTCTCGAGAGGACCACGACGACGCAGTTCGTGGACGTGCAATCGTTCGAGATCTCTGTACAGAGTTACAAACTCCATTTCCGACCCTCGGATTTGCCATTCAAAATATTTTGTACATTCATCTCTGCAATCAATACTCGAAAAATTTCACATGATGACAACTCTTTCTCGTGGCCACGAGACGCTCAGCCTGCACCCCCCGCATACGCTATGTCGCCTCCCGTTCATTCCTTCATGAGGTCGTGAACTCCCCTCTGCAGCGTAATCATCTACGGCGTGCTCGCTGAGCTACCACTACTACAACCACTGCTCACTCCGGACATGGAGTTCTCCACAGATGAGTGCTCGTGTCTGTCTGGGTCCATCATTCCCCGAGGCTACAGCTACCATCTAAACTTCATCAATTTCTGGCCCCGTTCTTGACATCTACTAAAGTACAACGAGCTCGGCGACGTCGACGAGATCGGCAGCAGCTCGCCCCCTTCCTTCGGAATTCTCGACAGAAGCTTCGGCTCTGCTGCGCACCCGTGGGAAGAGAATTGCCGGTGGAGACCGATCTGTCGACATGATTGGACCCGAGGTCGTAAATTCGGTGGGAGAGAGAGAGAGATAGAGACAGAGACAGAGATCTCGGGAGGTCATGAGCTCTCGTCCAGGCTGTCGGCGAATTCGACCACGTAGCCGACCATTTCGTCGTCGTAGCGGGGTCCCTCCATTTCGAAGTGGCCGGCGCCGACGACCAAGCGCTTCTCCGCCCTTCCGGCCGCGGTCTTGAGCTTGCCCTCCAGCTGCTTGACGCTGGTGAAGCCGTCTCTCGTGCCCATGACGAACAGCTTGGGCTTCGGCGACTGCAGCACAGTCTTGTAGTGTCTGCCGAACAGCACCGAGGCCAGAAACCCGAATGGGTACCCTAAACCCACGTAGCCTTTGATTTCCTCGACGCAATCCACTGCCGAGCCTGCAATCGGGGCCCCTGGTGACAGAAATACGCACGCACAGAATTCAGTCCGGCCATCATTGATTCAATTCATTCCATTCCATTCAACCCTAACCCACAACGACGCTGCACTTTTACTAGCTCTCATGATACCTCTGCTCTCACGTGCTTGTCCAGTTTAGAAAGCACTCGACGACCAACGATGTCTCTGCGCAGAAAGGTGAACGTGAATATTCTCCTCTACTCTCCTCTCCTCGTCCTTCCGTGCGGATTCTACAATTCTTTTCAAACAATGCCGATTCCGGAGGTGACGAGCGTGACCGCGGGTTGAAATTCCGAGGCCATCGTCGCCTGAAAGGCGAAAACTCGACACAGGCAACGAGCGAGCGCTGGGATTCTGGCGCGTGCGAGAACACATTCGCTTCGAAGCCGAGAAATTGCGCTGCTCCTTTCTGCTCTGCTCCAGGTTGCCATTGGGCTCACAACTCGGGCCTCTTGGCACGCGAACGGGGCCCGGAGCGGAAGCGCCATCTGCGAACTAGACACAGATGCAGACATTGCGAGTAATAATCCAAGAGAAATCCAGACTAGAAATCGTCCCGGAAAACGTCGTCCCCGATTTCGCCCTCTCTGCCCCTCGCGAGGGCTGACTGACTGCAAGAGAGCGAGATCCACGTCGAAGCCAGAGCGACGAAAAATGGGGACGAGAACAATGCCGATCGACGAGCAAAAGGCGACGGACGGGTGATGGATGATCAATCGTCGGAGCTACGTGCGGATGTTGCGCAGTCTTAGGTCGGGGCGAAAGGGAGCGCGCGGGTGCTTGCGAAAAAAAAAGGGTGAAAGTTTCGAGAGCGGCAGCAGCGGCGGCAACAAAAGGAATGCGCTGCTGATGGAGGCGCCAGGCGCCAGGCGCAGGCGCGCAGGCACGCGGGGGAAAGGGGGCAGGGGGTGGGGCTGGGGGGCATGCGAAAGTAGCCCCTGCCGCTGCAAGCGAGCCAAGCGAGAGAATGTCCTGCGGCTGATCTCACAGATCGTGAACAGTGCTCGGAGACTGTGCAAGCCCCGGAAAAGCATGCCCCCACCATCTCCAACACCGTTACTACTCCAACGTTCGGTCGTCACCGGCATCATCATCATCTTCTTCTGCCCCTGCCCCTGTCGCTCGAGTCTCGCGCGCTGTGGTACGCGCAAGCACGCGCGCACTGGCCCCCTTCTCGACTCCAATTCGCACCCTGCGCCTCGAGAGAGAGCGGTGCCATCGTCCGTGACGCCTCGCAGGACCGCGCGAGCGAGCGAGCGCTGCAGAAATCTGCGGCCGCCTCCGCGTCTTCTCGGAATTCGTCACTCGTTTCTACTTCAGCGGCGAGCTGTCAATCCAAGAAAAGGCCGAACCGCTCGCCCGAGCGGGGCTTGGGTCGGATCCTGAACTCGAACGGGGAGCGAAGATGGAAGAGGGGCGCGGAGGGGGAGGGGAAGGGGAGGAATACAGCAGCAGAATGAGAAGGGAAATTGCACTTCTTTTCGATTTCCCATTCGTAAAGAAAAGGCATGCACGCGCGCAGCGAGCAGGCGAGAGAGCGGATGCGAGGACATCGATGAGAGAAGAAATTCCACGCGGAATTGGGCACTCACCCGCAGAGGATCCGACGAGGACGATGGAGGAAGTTGGGATGTTGTCCACGGCCCAGCGACTCACGGCCACGACGTCGTTGACCTCGGCGCTCCCGGTGAAGGTGGATCTCCCCGTCGAGCGGCCCGCGCCTCGCTGATCGAAGGTCAGGACGACGAAGCCCTTGGCGGCCAGCAGGTTCGCCATCCCTTTCATCAGGCCCTGGCATCCCCCGAGCACCGTATACTGATGCACCAAGATTAGGGTCGCGTTCTTCTTCTCCTTCACGTCCTCCCCGGGCTTGTACAGCCTCACGGAAAGCTGCACTCCGTTGCCCTCGTCCACCGTTGCAAATTCCACCTCCCCCATGATTCCAATTCGGCTCTGGCCCCGTCCGAAACTGATCGCGCTGCGCGGTTCCGCGAATTCTCCTCGCTCCTCTTCCTCGCGCGACGACGGAACTCGGCGGTGGCCCAACAAATTACTTTTGCTGTCGCTGTCCTCGACGAGCTCCACTGCGTTCGGGACTGTTTCGGGGCCTCGTTCGCAAGAGCTCCGAAGGTGGGGGGAGTCAGAGAATAAATAGCGCTGCAGTTCGAGCACCAGAAGCGCCAGCCCAGTCGCGACTGGCCCCGAGGCCTGAGCTTACCGCCCCTTCCCTTCCCCCTCCCCCCTTCCCCTCACACTTCCCCTTCCCTCCCTCTGTCCCCGGCTGGCTCTCCTGTGCTCTGTCCGGCTGCCTCGTGCGCGTGTCCTTAGCCCCCGCTCTCAGCGTCGCTGTTTGTTCTGCATGCGGATGCTTGGGCTTACGAAATCCTCGTCCGCGCGACCATCCATCCGCTAAGTCCCCGTGCCCTTCTGCCCGGCGAACCCGAGGACAGCAATGGGGCAATTGCCGCTGCCCCTGCCGCTGCGGCTGCCGCGAGCGCAATTGCTCGTCGCCTTACGAGGATTGTTACCCATTAACCCCTGTCCCCTCCCTGCCCCCCTCCAATCCCAGTCCCCGCCGCAGCCCCCCGCGCTCTTGCTCGCTTTCCTGCCCCTCGCTAACTCTGCTTCGTGTCCCCACTTTCTCTCTTCCATCAGCTTCACGGGGTCCACGCGAGCCCAGGGGCAGCAGGCACGGGGACGAGCAGGAGTTTGAGGCTGCGCCACGAAGAGCGTACCGAACTGGAAAATGGAAAGAAAAGCGAGCCCCCTCGCTTTTACCGGTAAAACCACTCGCCGGCCATCGTACGCTCCAGGGCCTACGGCCCAGAGTATATTTCGGCTTGCCACCAGCGGCGGGGGCAACGCTCTGCCGGCCGTGACGAGCCGACGGCAAGTGTACTGCCGTCGCGACTTTCGATGCGGGTCAACGCCGGCTGAGACTTCCCGGCGGAAAGAGGGAAGGGATAAAAGGGAAGACCGGGTCACCGCTCGACCGGCTACGCGCGGCCAAAATGGCTGCGCTCCACCGGCCTAGCCGGTCGTCGCTCTGGGGATCCACGTAAATGACGCGATTAACGTCACACGGAGAATGCCTCCGATCGGCAGCCGCTTCCGACCAGTTCATCCGGACACTCCCATAGTCGTCAGATCTACAAGCCGACGGCCCAGATCGACTCAAAGCGCGGGGATCGTACCGGCCGACCGGCGGTCCGGATCTGGACCTGGATCGATTCACCGCCGGACAGACGTGCGGTCTTTCCTCAGCCCCCCTCCTATTATCGTGCAAAGAGCCCCTCGCTCCTCGCCCGTCGATTCGAGATCCGACGGCGTCGTGCGACAGCCCCTACGACTGGTTCGTATGGAACTCAATGAATGCTAGCCCCTGGCTAGTCGTAGCATGCATCATTGGGGCTAGGAATGATGGATGCACACCCCCCCTCATCTCATCTCATCCCATGATTCCCCTCCCATCGGGAGCTTTCAGCTCTCTTTACTGCCCCGCTTTGACTGCGCGAGCTCAGTCACCTCGTAGTCAATGCGTCGGTCATTTCCCCCCGTCTTCGAGCTCGAACCGTTCTCGTTCCGCTGCCAGAGCAGTTGGGGCGTCTGTCTTCATCCACTGCATTCATTGCGTCTCATCTCTTCGGATATAAACACCACAAATGACAAGGACAGCTGCCCGATGAGAACAATAATCCAGACACCCCACAGATCAGAATAGAAAATGAAGATCATACACGGCCCCAATATTGATTATACATCGATACATATGCCTTCATAAACAGTGCATAGTGTTTTCCGAGACTCTGGAGAATTTTCTCAGCTCACAGCTTTTGTAATCTTCTAGATTAGGCCTCCACGAAGAGAACGAGTTTGTAAGAAAACTAGCCGGCGGATTCGGCGTTCGATATGTATGGAGATAGCAATTCATGACTCCATGAAACCGCATATCTGTGGTTTCCTTTCCCTCATGCATGGAACGGCATGTCCATTTTTATCGCAGGGCGAAACAATGTGAAGTTTAAGTGCCAGGATTTGGCATATGCCTTTCAGATTCATTCATGACGTTATAAACGCGAGCACATATTTTCGGCTCGAATTATGCAAACATGGTCTACTGACCAGTCCTGTCCGCATTGCTTCCAATTTAGGGAGAGCATATTACTTTTTCGCGGTGCACGAAAAGTTCCTCATGAGGAATTATAATTATTACCATCAGAATAAGGAAAAGATATGAAATAGGAAGATTCCTCACTAGGATATATGTGTATATATGCAGCGAAAAGACGAGGAAATAAATAAAGATAATAAAAGCAGATTCCTTCAAAAGGCTGCGAGTAAAGAAGTGCAAAAACGGGGGCAGTACAGTTCACAATCCAGACAAGCCCACGCCGGGGGCAGTTGCACGGGGGAGGGATTCTCGCCCGGTAGTTAACGTGGTTGAGCGAGGCCCGGGATCGACTGCAGTAACAGTTGAGTCAGGGTTGGGGCACTTGGATCCGTACCTTGCTTTCGACGAGGTTGCGTAGGCTTGAGCATGCAAGCTACTGTGGTCAAAAGCCCCCGGGGCCCGTAGTTTCACCGTCATACATGCCTGCGCGCCCGCCATCCGAATCTGACGAGCTGACGTGCGGGGCAGAGGCACGGGAGAGCTTCATGATTCCTGTTTTGTCTCTTGCGCCTGACCCCGCCTGGCAGTCCCGTTGTCGTCCGTTGTTGTGACAGTCACCGTTGTTCCGGCCTGTGGCGAGAATAGTCCCAGTCCCCTGCAGGGTATAAAATTCTCTTCCGTCTGTTCCCCGCTCCCCCCTATGGCAAGGTGGCTCTCGGATGATGCTAAGCACGGACTATCCCACGTAAGCCAGCCCCTCCCCCCTCCCCCCCTCCCTCCCATCCGCTAGGCTCCGGGGCCCCCTTTCCCCCGATCGGCCACCCCGCCCCCCTCCCTCTGCCCCTGCCCCTGCCCCTCCCGGCCACTCTGCCACCAATATTCTACCTTGAATCTGAGCATCATATCCCCCCAGCTCCCTCGGGACGACTCGTTGCGTGAGTGCCCTTTGCTCTCTCTTCTCTTCTCTTCTCTTCCGTCCTCGCGGCTGGTTCTCACGTTTAAGGTTCTGTCTCGGTCCATGTCCCGTGTCGTTTGTTCACGTATCATGTCGTCTGCTCGATTTCTCCCCCGCGCAGCCACTGGTGGGCTGGGTACCCGTGCGTTTTGGCACATGATCTCGAGCAATAGTCGATAGCTCTGCGCGTGCCCCATCGAATCGACCGAGTACAGTGATCGTTTCTCCCGGGACAATCAAGCTCAATCGTGTTCGAGGAGAGTCAAGCACACGTGGTTCGTGCGGGTGCCGGCTCTGACGGGTAAGTTTGTAGAGTGGAATTCGTTGAGAATATATCCCAACCCTTGATGATGTGGACTTTGTGCGAGTTGTAGAGTAGATCATCCACTAGTCGGCTCCGATCACGAAGGTTTGGCTCATGGTAGGGCTTTCGTTGCGCATCCCAAAGCTTGTGTCCAGTCTGAGGGAAGCTCAGGGTGCGAACCGCTCCCGACCGCATCTGATCTGAAAGTGCACATTCCACGGATTAACTTTTGGCCTCTGTATCGAGCAGCTCTGATTTATCCAGACGAGACCGGTGGCCACTAACTTTGAAGTTTTTCTACAAGCGCGAAAGGCCTGCATATACGCTTGGAGATGGGAATCTCGGAATTTGGGTATTGTAACCTTTTTATCCCGATTTTGTTTAGATGTGATTAAGAACCCGAAGAATTCATGAGTGTTCGAATCTCGAGGAGGAAGGACCTCTTGGGTACATACCCATCTGTCAAATTCAGAGGTCCTTCATTGCCTGTAATTCTAGCTTGAGGTGGGGTTTAGCAGTGGATTGTGGAGTGTGCTGGGTCCCTGTCCACTGAAGGGGCCAGGCTATATCGTTTCTCCTCTCAGCACCAATCCTGCTTGCTTCACGCTCGGGATGAAATGGGAAAGGCCACACAACTGCTCTTCAATTAGGCCTCGTTCACTTAGGGTCATCCAAACTTGAAGTTACTAGACTTGCCACACTCACGTGGGATGGAAGAACGTCTTTGTCCACCGAGATGTAGGTTTAATATACAATACGCGGGTTATTCTCATTCTTGCAGAGATTAATGGTCATTTGCATGGTCCGAATTTGCAATGGCTCTATAAGTGTCCATTGTAAACATTTTTACATTGATTGTGTTTTACAGCTAATATCGTATGATATGGATGGAACTATATATGGCATCATCATACAAATAAGAGTTAGAATGAAAAGATGGAGCATGGGTGTTTATTTTGACACGTCCTTTTTTATTCGAAAACAGATTATGAAGAATTTTGTCTCGAATAGACTGATGACCTTTTATTTTAAAAAGCATGGTTGTGGATATGGGCTACTTTCATTTCTCAACTTCACACGAAGAAACGATCTGAACTTCGGGGAAATTTGCCCTTTCACTCTCTCTCTCTTCTTTCATCCTTTCTTCCTCTTTCCTTGTTACTGTTATCTTTTTTCTTGCTCTATGAGTTCGAGGATTGAGATTTATCGATTGAACCCGAAGGTGTGACTGGGGTCGGCCAATCTTCAACTTCAAAACATTTGTCCTTCTCGTCACTTTCTTCCTTCGTTCTCTCTCTTCTCTTTTTGTCTCAATTATGTGCATTCGTGGACGCATCCATCTGCCACGTAGTATTTGAATGTTGAGAAAACTGCCGAAATAAAAGGCCTCTACAATTTTAAAACGAGAATGACGTCACATGACGGAGAACGAATTGTGGCAAACCTTCTCCAGAGTGGTGGGTACTCTTGTATTGGTGGGTGCTCTTCCCGGTGGCTGGGTTGCCACGGTATTGTGGCAAACCTTCTCCAAGGCTACAGACTTCAATGCATAGGAGGAATCCTTTAAGCAATATGCTTTCCAACCTCTTCCAACTGAAGGGTGTAGGGTTGAAGATGGAAGGATAAAGAACATTTTCCGAATACATTTACACCTGTGTGGTGTTTCCTGCCTCATGCGCATACTACCTTCTATACGCTGACCTTTGCTCTTCCCGGTTTTACCTCAGTTTCGTGTGTATACATGTCTTCAGCTGCAACAAAACTACGTACACTGCGATTTATTCAGTGTAGCCGTCTGCACAACTTTTATCGATTTGCGATGATATATGCCACAGAACATCTGTAAATCACAGCTTAATTCGCTAGCTTCACTATCATGTGACAATGCCTAAGGAAATAACTGACACATTGACAAATATCATGAAATTGTACACTTACATAATTGTTGAAGATCATAAATCGTAATTGATACTAGGAAACAATCAGGCTAGAATTGTTTCCTAGCCTGATTGCGGTCAAAAGAACACTCGGCTTGAATGCATTACTCTAATAACACAGATGAACTAAGCCAACACTAGTCCAGATGTTGGCGCCGTTGTTTAGATGCATGTGTTGAGTTCATGAATCGACACGTAAGCTAAAAGCCCACCTTTTCCTATTAGTCATCGTGGGCCATCGAAATAAAATGAAACAACCCTTAACCACTCCATGCTTGCGGCTCTGCTAGGGTCCATCTCGCGAGAGCTGGAGCGAGCGAGGAGAACAACACCATCTCTTGCTAACTTCTTTCAATGGCTTCCGCAAGGGTAAAAGTTTCGATGGTCAGACGTCGAACTTCCATGTCCGACTTACGAAAGCCCTGTTTATAGAAACGTAACTTTCACGATCCTAAAGTTGATGTATATTCTCTATTTCGAAACCTGGACACTTTCTACGAGCCACACAATACACTGGTAGTCATAATCATCCCAAAATACGATGGATATGTTAACAATACAATCTCAATGTATAGGCAATTGGCGTTGATGTATAGGTATCTGTCTTTATTACTATGAAACAACTCAGCCCCCAATCTCTACCTCATGTCAAATTCATTTCAACTTCTCGCTTTCGAATGTCGGTAACCTTGATGACTAACCTTTTTCCTCCTATACCAACGGCCGCTGACATCTCAGGTATACATAACGCTCTACTCCTAGTCTATGTTGAGACAACTCTAAACACCCCTGATGTCATACTTTTCAATATCCCATCCATCCTTGAGTGACAAATCCATGTCTCACGACTGTCGCAAATTCTTCCACATTCCGTGAGTGCTTTAAGTATGATACCGTTGAAGTGAGACAATGAAATTAAATTGATCTTTCCCCGTAGGTATTAGTCCCACGTTCTTTTGCGTTTCTGGGACAAAATGCTCAAGTTAGCAAGCTTTGAAAATCGCCTACAGATACGACGTCTACATTAGTGGCCACTGCTCTCAAACGGCGTCAATAGCATAAATAGGGAACACTGGAATGACGTCATGAACACACTTACCAGCATTGCATCATCAACATGACTGCTCCATATATCAAGCCAGCTTGCCCCACATCTACTTCGACTGCTCTTGACTTCGAGATCGCTGCATCCCTGATGTTTGTGACTCTAAATATTAAGTTCTGTCCTTCATAAGTTGGGCGCCTGCCAGTCCACCATGATGAAGACAGCTCAAGCAAGATGCCGCAACGCTCGGGAAGGTTATCCTACTCATTCCGCCATACACGCGCTATCGGAGCATTTCATATGTACTGATTGAAGCTGCACTGAGACTGGCGACAACATCCAACGTTTGAACACAAGTCGCAGCTTCACTGAATTCACTACAACTCACACCTCCGACTAAATTGATACTCATTCACATGTGTAGATAACAACAATCGTTGCAAGGGGGAAGTCCTGCATATCGTGAAGTTGAAACTCAGCAACAACCTTCGATATAAGAGTCAGAAGCTTTCATCCTACGTCCTCAACAATCTCAATACACTAAAGACCAAACATACCAAATGATTTGCGTTTTGGGAAAGTAACTACTGACTGATTAATCGATTCAACTTCCACCCAATTTCAAGAATTGGTTAGTCCTTGGCTAGAAAGTCTAACGTTCAAAGGCTTGTGAGTTTCGGCAAACTGAAAACACTGCTAGTGTTGCTCTATAATGTACTTAATAAAGTACGTTCACTGTTATTACTTCTCTAACTTGAACAAATTCCTGAAAGGGAAAATTTAAGCTCATGACTACGGTTGATGGTGTTCATGGGCTACTGCGGAATAAAAGCTCCGCGCATACTGCTTTAAGGTTTCTGTCCATTTGCGAAAAGTAACAAAAGCATGTTATCCAAGATTCTGGTAAGGGTAGCATTTTCCTGTGTGGTACACTGATGTATCTACAAAATAGTATGTACAAAAATCCAACTGGAAATCTCAGAGGATGAACCTAGTACATCGCTACTGTACCCGACCTTCCGTGGGGACAGAAGAGGGCAGAAAAATGTTGGCAGATGTCAATTCCACCCATATAGCTGACAATTAGCCTCAACAATACTCGGGGTGACGGATACATCAACCTTCAACACAAAGGATAGAGATACTAGACAGCGAACCGACCATGAGTAAGCTTGCAAAGCCAAGGTCGGCTCAAAAATGAAACAGGCCGGTTTTCCTTGATATGGAAAGTCCACTGTCCATGTACAACATGCACATTCCCTACATACCCTTGTCTACGAGGGCACAGAGACTTATAAGGCAGTGAAGTCAACTGGTGTCAAACCCGGTGTTGAAACCGCGTCAACGACAGTCACCGGTTTGATCTTGCCATGATCTGACATCATGGCAAACATAAGCCACATTGTTATCACTAGAGTATCGATAAGGACAGAAGGCAATGATTGACTACCACGAGCCATATTCATACATAGGGATAATCTACTTGATCGGATTGGCGGCTACCTAGGTAGTCTCTCCAATAAGACAGTAATCACGGGACTCAGATAACTTGGCCTCCCAAACTTCGATACTCAAAAAGAGTGCATACAAGATCAAAAGAAAAGGATTTCACATAACCACCCTTTTATTTGTACAATACAGATACATGATACACATCTGATTCCAGATTATATATAGTTAACCCGCCTCTACAAAGACAGCAACATTGACACCTGCTACCTCCTGGGAACACCCATAAGACAAAAAAGGGAAAAAACGACCTACTAGAGTCAATACTAAATCTGTCAGTCAATCTATATATTTCCTCCCCTTGGATCTTTGACCGACGCGAGGGTTAGAGGTACAATAGAGTTGACATGTAGCACTCCTTAACTTTTCTATGCTCAGCCACTACCACCAACTACCGTACAAAATGGCATGCTGTTGAAGGTCATGCCAGTAGAAGTCATATGGAGAAGGCATACCTGACAGAGGTTGCACATATGGCCTATATAGCTACACAGTGTCTCAAGGGACTCTCCGCTCTTTTGAACTTTTCTCCTGCTCTCATCCATTGTAAACTTAAGAAAATCGGTCCAGGGGATCTCCTTTATTTGCTATGTATGGCAACTCTGCGGCAGCCGCTATTTTCTGTCGAAGATTGAATCTCTTCGCGATAATTGGGCGCACATCATCAACTCCAACAAGTGTCTCCAAGAAAGGGAGTAAACCAGCTAATGCACTATCTGACCGATCGTCGAACCAGCTCTCAATAGGTATACCATTGTCCACCTGGAATCCGTATGCCTGGATAGCAAAAAATATCAGACACCAACCAATTAGACAAAATGATGACAATGTAAGACCTCATACCACGTGCCAACTCATGAATGTGAAGACAACCCTAATCCTAAACTGTGACATTGCACTTCGATCTCCCGCTCCAAAGCCTAACACATTCGCCTGACACAAGTAGACCAGATAATACGGCGAGATGCACTGCAAGTGGACTTCTCATGAGATGTATTTGGTAAAAACGAGTGTCGCCATCGAGACCCAAAAAACAAAAAGCACGATGTCCGCATAACACAAGCAAACGCGTCGGCAAGTGTAAGAAGCAGATTTTACACTTACAATACCGACTGGTCAGCAGGTCGGCACAAACCTGACCGGTAACAGACAAGGAAAACATGAGACCGCTCCACATGTGACGTACGGACGGCACGTGACATCGAACTTAAACTGGTGAAGAGTCAGGTACAGAAAGAGCAGTACTTCCTACTACACACCTGAACTACAGGGTTATTCCAGTATATTTGCAGTCTTCAGTGAAAAACACAGTTAAAGACAATCAACACTTAACGTGGGGCAGTGGCCACTGGTGATCTGGAATCATATGCAGAAAGAGTTGTATCTCGCACCTGTGGGGAGTTGTCTATGATGGCAACTTTTGAAAGATCCCGCCCAAGAATGGTCAGATCCTTCAAGTAGTTCCCACGCACAAAAACGCAGGAGTCCCGAAAAATGCGATGACGTATAAGCTTTCGCTTAGGATCCAACACGTTCAGTAGTTGCTCAGCATACACACTTTGGCTGGCTGTGAACACAATTATTTCAAAAAGTTGTGCAACTCGTTCCATAAACATTTGCAGGTGAGGTCTCCTACGCACATAAACCATGTGTTCTTGAAAATCAAAATGGACTGGGAAGCTGAAATCTGCATCAGCGCAATGCTCCAATGTTGAGTGGACCAAGGTTTCTGACAACATTAACGACCGCGTGTTAGAAAAACATACATGTACAGAAATCTCGAGATGCATGATGCAGTCATGCAGAGAACTGTAATAGACCATGCATGATAATACAGATAACACACACTCAGAACATAATAGTTGGTATCAACAATTGAACTCCGGTCTAGGGTCGAGTTTGTCATCACAGAGCAGTGGGAAAAATTCATACCGAAACAAGTATAGAATACACGACTCTTAAATATATTCTTAAAAGTCATCTTCTTTCATGAAGTCGGACATTGTTGAGCGTCGATTATGAATGTAATCTTGGGTGTCAACTATTCTCTTAAATTTTTGCAAATATCAACAGCGAGCCAAAGCAGTACAGAAAACTCACCGTCAAGATCTAAGACTAGTGTGATTGGGGGACTCCGCCGAGTTTGCCGAGGAAGCAACAGAGGCCGGCAGGGAGAAACCACTTCAGACAGACTTGGAAGCCGCTTTATAAACAGGTACGGATCAATATCTTCAAAATCATCTTCTTCCTCCGGAGGAACATCACCTTCACCATTACCTTCGTCATTGCATTCCAATGACTTTGACTGCTCCACGGCTAGAAAGAGATCTGCTGCATCAGATCCTAAAACATCTGCATCTCCTTGAGTATGGTCTAATATCGGTCTCAGGGCCTCTCCACCATCCACCACTTTATCATCTATGGTCCATTCAATACATTCACCACTGCCATCAACCAACGTAACGACCCCGTTGTTCGCATATGGTTTCATACTCAGTGAGTGATCTTCAATGGGTGGCAGTGCATTTGATTGTTCAATCCTGCACAAAGAAGTGGTGGCCTTGGAAGATATTGGGATCAAAGCTTGACATGTCGCCGCAATCGCTTCTTGATATCCATTTTTCCACTTCGACGAGGTAGCATCTGCCGATTCTACCCTTTGCTGCTCTTGTGCATCTGTTTGTTCAACTGCAGTGACAAACAAATCCAAAGGAATCCTCAATAATCGAAGGTTCCTTCGCATCCATGAACATTAAAAATCAAATTGCAGGAAGAGGAGCATGAGATATTTTACATATGTCGAGATAACAGTAAGGGCTTCACACGCAAAGGGGCCGAGGAGTTCTAGAGTTGGGCTACGCTCGTGACCTATTTAACTTCACACAATGCTTGGGAGGAAAACCCAGATAATCTCGACATACCGCTATTTTGACAATTTGTGTGTGAATCTTCTCCGTGTCCTTTGAATAAGTGGAACACAGGAGAAAAGATAGTCTCTAATAGAGACGGTCGTGTGGCACTTCCGGTATGTTCCAGGTGACTCTTGAAATCCTCAAGACAAACTTCCGAACTGTCCCTAGGAATCTCCTTCTCGTCCGCGTGCTCAGACTCACACTCCCTGTCTGCTACATTTTCAAACTCCGAACATTTTTGCTCCTGAAAATTTTTTTAAAACCCACGTTCAGATATGTGCAGAAATTACAAGGAAACGGTTTGAGAGAAAAGAAAGAGAGTGGAAAAAAGAAGATGAAACATTCCACAGAGTGCGCAGAAATTGACTTAAAAAATAGTTTCTTGTTGAAGCCATTGGCACCTTGGGTTGGAGAATATACTCCTGCTCAAAATCAAGGATGTGTACTGTGAAGAAGTTTTCATCGTGCTAATAGAGATGCAATGTGTTTCGTTTCGTACAACCAAACATGGAGCAAGCAAAACAGGGCCGGATAGAATTTGAACCTTTAAATCAGTCAATGATGAGTCCATCGACGAAAAAGTAAGATGGAGATTCCGACAAAGATCTTCATCCGCAACCGAGTTCTCCGCTTCAGCAGGTACAACACGTACTCGACTAGGGGACACCAGACATACAGCAGTATTTTCTGCAAGCATCCATGAATCAGTACATGCACACGACAAAATGCGAGTGAATAATGACCCCTCGAACGTAAATAAGCAACAGAAAATGAACGGCATACGGAAATAATATTTATGTCCTACCGATTCTCCGTTTCCGAGAGGAGGACGTGATTAGAGCAGCAGCCACTTCCTTCCTCCGCTGCCAAAAACCTGCCTCCTTTCTTCGCTTCTTGTTGGGACACTCAGAGGGATCCTTGTCTGACATCCTGGAAGATGCTTTCCTTGCTCTGACCTTCATGGTAATTACAATCGGAACACTAAAAATACCAGTGTACAAATATTCACAAGGTACGGTTCAACAATTCTTCATCCATGTGGAATTATTTACCAATGGAAGGAAAATCTGCACCAACCGAAGAGACAAGTTAAAACAACGTCTTGAGCATTTTGACAAGCGCAAGCCATTTCGAAGAATTCACAAGTCTTAAATGTTCAAGTGTCCAGCTGGATATTGGTAGGTCAGGCCAAAAAGCTATTGTATTGTAAAACGACAATGAAATTTTTCTATTCTCAAACTTGTTCTTCCAAGTATCTTCAGCAGAAGGTTTCTTGACAGAGCGACATTTCAAAAGAATCGAAAGACCGAGTTTAAACCGTGGTTTTGGGACTTAGACCTAACTAATAATACCAGAATACAGCCCTTTCAAAAGGTATGTAAGCTTCACCTTCACCCACATACAAGACTTTTAAATTTTTCAAGACTTTCCGCAGTTCGGCTAGAGAAAAGTTTCAGTCAAACGGCAGTGGAATATTACTCTGTGGCAATCAGCTATTCAAGCCATCGGCGGGTCCATCACAGTTCACTAAGGCGGTCTACCTGTTGATTGCGGCTGATAAATAATGGGAGGAAATGGTTTAAGCGACTATCATAGCTTCCTGTGCACTTGGAGGGAGCTGTTCTCAAATGCATCGTTCAACTTGATATTTCTGATGTTCTATGCTTTCTCATAAATATGAGGTAAACGTTATCCTCTACATTCTCATACTTTAAAACAAAAGCGATACCCCGAGCTAGCTTGACGCCTTTCTCGGACGAAATTGCTCCAAACCAAAACAAAATATAATTGATAATACAAAAGTGATGTAAACAGCATGCGAGTCTCCTAACGATAAAATTCACAGTACGAATCATTCATACAGCGCGTACAGCAGGAATTAAGAAAGGTAATAAGATATTCTGCATGGATGCCGCTTAAAACACCTGCATGTTAAGAAACCAGCTAAGAACGATAAAAAGCAAGATGGTAAATAGATTGATCCTGAGAGTTCAGACTGATGAAGATATAGGCGAACAAATAGTCGATGAACGGAAAATAGATAACAAGGAGTGCTCATGGAAGGTTTCGACACGTAAAAAAAACCACATGATGAAGATACACCGTGGAACCTTTCGTTACACTTTAAACTGAGCAAATTAGCATATGGCTACTCAACTGATAGAAAAATACAAAGTTCATACACCAAACTCAGTGCTGATTATCAACAACTACTGAGAGGCGTCGTACCCTTTCCACACCACATCACGAGGCATCGCCTTCACCTTCAAAAGGTTAATCAGAACTTCAAGCTAGGCATAACAGATAAAAGTCGCGTGTCTAAGAACGAGCCAAGGCATTCCAGCACCAACCTCACTGCTAATAACAGTCAGGTGTCAGATTCACTAGCACATAAAATGTCGTACCAGGTCGACACAGATATTGTTATCAAACTCGCAAGCTTCAATCGCGTTCATGCGTAGGTTCATGCAGTGGAGGAGATGGTAATAGCGGTTGAAAGTACGATTTCTAAGGCAAGCAAGTATGCCACATCAATTTCGACAAATCTTCGTTGCACTGCAGTGCTCTTCCACTGCGCGACTGAGTTCTTGAGTAGGAGGAACTCCGTACTCTATTTCCTCGGTGTACACAAGTCACAATGGGATAAAACACTTACAAGGTTGCCGCAAGAGTGTTCATTTACAAGATACTGTGGACTGCACTGCACCCAGCCCATGATGAAGGTGAAGCATACTTGCCAACGAAACACTGAAAACATATGCGACGACGATAGAAACGGTACATAGATGGCCTCAAGCACCGGGAGTAAGGCTTTCGGTGCGATCTTTTCCCCGTGGCACTTTTTTTTATAACAGGGCTGTTGATGCCAAAGGGCCGAGAGAGTCACGTTGAACAGCAATCAGTGTTCTAACATAGGCCACCTATTACTAACCGAGTTTGCCTAAGAGACGGTTGTTCAGACCTTCCAGATCAAAGGACTAGACCAGAAACAGGGTTTGAATACATCCTCTCGGTAAGTGTAACCAGAGCCCTTCATGGGCATCGCTTTCGGCCTTCAATAGAGCTCGAGGAAGTTTCTCGAGATACCACCGAGAGAGGAACCAAAAGCTGACAGCCACAGGGCACCTATTTCTACCCTTCTACTTTGGTAAGAACATCAGCTCGATTACATTCGAGCCGTAAGAGATTATCTTTCACCGAGCCCAGTGCTAAGACAGTGTTTGAAGAGATCATTGTTGGCCGAAGTAGACAAACAAACACCTGCTATGCGGCATCATTGTCCAGCATATTGAGTCTTTTGACACTTTCTGTCGAAGTTTCTGAGAAGTAGGGCTCGACAGCTCACTTTACAGTTAACAAGAGTGCCGCCGAGTGTACACAGAGAGCAGCGGTACAAGCCACACCCAAGTCACCGAGAAAAGCACGTTGGGGATTCTATACTGCGAGGAAAGACCCTCTTCAGAAGACATCACACCATTGGCTCCACCGGCCATCCACCGTTCAATCTGGCTTGTTCGTGAACAAGGCGGCACTTCCCATCGTAATCCCCCTTAACGTCCTGTGTGTAAGTTACAGGGTGACTAAACACACAGGGCGACACCGCTTCCACAAGCTTTCACGAAAACCATCGAACCGTATTCGTGGCTAAGGCGGTGAACGGCCTGACGCGACACCAATCTCCACCCACTCTAACAATGCGATGGTCAACCTTTACAGCTCCAAAGTCCTACCGTACGGAGGGTCGGCGGTGTCGCAACCACAGCGGTGAACATCATCCTCAGGATGGCGCAGCAGGAAAGAGAAAGGTACGAACGAGAAGCAAAGACCAGAACCCAGAGCCGGCCTCGAGTGAACACGAGAGTTACAAGCAAACATTGTGACAGCTTGCACTGAGACACGGCACCAGCGGCCGGCAGAACTCAGCGCTGCAAACCCTACGAGAGCACCAGCAGCCCCACACGACATGACACCCGACCACAAGCGCATCGTCCTACACTCCGGCAGCCACAGACGGCAACGAGAAAACGGGGCGAGAAGATGCACCTTGAGAAAACACACCGGGCTCCGTCGAAGAAGAAGAAGCGCAAAACTGAAATGTGGCAGCCGAGCAGCAGGGGAGATATCGAGCTTCGCTCGAGGACCGAGAGTCTAATGGGAAGAGAGCGAGAGAAGCAGCGTGCAAAAGAAGCGGCAGGCGTCGAGCGGAGGGAGAGAAAAGTCCAGTCGCAGGGTGGGACAGCGATGTGGGGAGACCACCTCCGCTCCAGCGCTCTGTCCCGTAAACAGGGAATTACCGCAGGGTTTTATTCGCTGCCGCTCGCGTATTCACCACCTGTCGCCCTGCGTGCCCTGCCTGCGGTCAGGTAAGAAACTCACCCGTTGAATTACTAAACTTTACTTCTGCGCTCTCAGTAACCACTTCAGCTTTTTCCCCTGATACAGGCGCCCGTGACTTTAGGTGCGCTCCTCCGCTGAGCTTGGTGGCCCGCCCTGTCTGCTACAAGAACTTCTCATGCGGACCCTTGAGCTGGGCCTTGAGTTCCATAGGCTGCTGTGGAGCTTGTTCCTCCAGACCTAATCGCCTAATCATTCGCTTTGATGAAGCGAAAATCTTCGGGACGTGGCCTCGGAAACATCTTCAGGTGGATTATGCTGATTATCCAGTTGATGAGGGCACTGTAGTCCTCGTTAGACCGCATTCTGTCTGCGATTTTGAACCATGCATCGTCCCGCCATGGGCATGTCGAGGCATTCTTGAAGTCAAAGTATGCGGACGTCGCAGGGTATGTCGTCTAATTTTTCCGTTGCTAAACATGTACGGTACTCAAGCTTGCATACACAAGGTACATCGTGCAAAGCCACATTGGTGTAACATATCGATGGATAGTGGTGAACATTGGATTACAGTCTATTCTGTTCAAGTTAATATTCTTATCAGCTTCACCTGACTTTTTTAAATAATTTCAAACTTCTGGTTTGAACTGGTTAGGAACACAATCTACAGGTGCTAAGGTTTCTCTCCCCAACCCTTTGTAACAAAAATTTCAGTTTGAAGTTTGTAAAAAGTTTGAACTAACAAATTTCTATGCCAACTATTTTCATTACCTTAGATTGAGTTATATTTATATGCGGTACTTATAAAAAATATGTATTGATGTTTTGTTTTATGTCAAATTTTTTAAAACTATAAAAATTGCTCCATGTCTTTAATCAAAAGCCAACAATCTTGAAGCACAACATTGATTATTTTAATATAAATATTAATAAAATAAAATCTTTTATTTGTCACTTTATCATTTTCATTACATACATTAAGATCAATTTTAGAAATTATTTGATTCTACATCACCTTGAAATGATTTTAATTTAAATGTTAACAAAATTATCCATCAAAAAAAATATCTTGATTAGAATATCAAACATCGTATTAGAATTTTTTATATTAAAAATTTTATTGAACATTTTTAATTTTATTTGTGAATATACTAATTTATTTTAATCTAAATAATAATTCAATTTTTTCTGTATTTTTATAAACAATATGTGAACCAAAATCAATGACAATCAAAGACAGATTATAAAAAATCTTATAAAAAATCACTCAACTTTTATCATATCATAAATTATTTTCTATGATTATCTAAAATTGAATTATTATGTTAAACTGTTGATCAGTCTTCTACGTAACAGTCTCGATGACTGCTTCTTGAAAATCTTATTCTGAAGAATATTTATTTTGAAAAAATTTCATCAGAAAATAAATGGCTCTTCAGTAATCTGTTATGTTACATAACCTCGACATTTATTTAAGACTTTTAATTTTATTACCCATTGATGAATACTTCATTTTTAAGTTAAGTATAGATTGTAGAGAAAAAGTCAAATGCAATATTCTAATTCAGATAAAATATCAAATCTAGAAAGAATCATACTTAATCAATTCCAAAAGAATTGGCTATTTGTTAACCAATTATGATATATTTATATATCAATTTATTTTAGTAATTGTATATGACTTTTTTATATTTATTGATAAAATATATATATATCCAAGAGGATTTTAAAACATTCTGGAATCAACTTCCACGAAATTTTGTTAACTAGTTTTTTTCCAATTGTTTCTTCATACTACAAATACATACTTTAAAACTCTATTATAAGTAAAAATCTATGAATGCTTCAATTATACTCATTAATGTACAAAATAATTCGCAAAATATTTCATTTTCTATTTCATATTTTTGATATGTAAAATTTATTGTTATATTTAAAAATATTCTTGGTATTTTAATGAATATTTTTTGGTACAAATTAAAATTTGAAATTTGAAATAATTCTAATTTTCAATTCCAGTATTATAATTTATTTTTAAAGAACTTATTTCAATCCAAAAATTACTTTCATTAGTTACAAATAAAAATCTTGTGTAACTGAATTGATGATTTACAGTTGTGTGTTCTGAATTATGTCTAAAGAGCAGGCATAATGAATTTCAGAATGGGTCGAATTAGCAAGATTTACATTATAACTCATTAATCCTGATTAATACGCTTGTGTTATTTTTCATATGATTTATCATTCTATTTAATAATTTATTCTTTATACTAATTTATATTAAAGACCAAAAAAAAAAACATCAGCAATTTTTGAACATGTGATTTCTTTGTAGAAAATATCATGTTTCAAACTGTTCCGGACGTCAAATTCTGAAATATGTACTAACATTTACCTGAATATTTTTATTATGAATATGAATATGATCTCAATATATCAGCATTATAATACTATTAAAAATTATGTTACACAGAAAATAATTTATAAATAAAACCAAAATATTTCTTTTCAAATTTTATATCTTGTAGAATTTTGTTAAGCCAAATTTTTTATTATAAAATTCAAGACATGAAATTATACAGTTATGTTATAAATATATAAAATTATATATAATTATATAATGATTTTTATATAATTATATCGTATGAAATCATAATGTGTTGATTCTTTTATTCAACTTTTATATGATAATATCTCATCATAAAATGTTTTTAAATGAAACAGTTTTTATGTTACATTTGATTGATAGAACTGATAGATCTAAAGATTCACTAAAAATATATCAATATACGTATATATTACTTTAAAATTATTTTATTTTCTAAAATAAACTGTAAATTTAGATTTTTATCAATGTTTGAAATTTCAATATACTGTGATTTGGATTGATTGATTGTGATTGCAAATACAGAAATGATCAAGTTTTAAGATAAACATATGTGTCTTTTTTCCTTGTTAACTAAAATCCATTGTTTTGAGAGTAAATTACTAAAGTGGTCAAAATTTTATACTTAGTATGTCACATACACTTGATTTTTGCAAAGATTAAACATTAATACATCAATCAACATAAAGATTATGATTTGGTTAAATAAATATAAGGTTTTTAAAGTATAAAATAAGAAATATAATATCACTGAAAAGAAATAAGTATCGTTCACATAAACAAGGTTTCTAAAAATCTAATAGCAAGTACCCGTGATTTCTGGAGAATTTGAAGTTGCTCAGTATTTTTAATTGGAACTAAAAACACGCTGTATGAATAAAAGATAGTTATGTACACTTATGAATATAAAATTTTGGGAAAATTCAACAATAATCCCAGCTGATCACAAAAAGTAATTATCTTTTAGATTATCCCATGATAATGTTATAAAACATGAAGAGTATGCTAATCGTAATTTTCTAAATCTCAGGGATTATGACAACCAAACACAAGTTTTCACGAAATATACAACTAAATTAATAAATTTTAAATGTTATTACATATCATAAATTTGTTGAAATGAAAAAAAACTTGAGTATTTGTTTGAAACATATATATATTTTTGCTTCTAAATCATTTCATGACTAAAATTATCAGTTTTGATAATTGATATGAATTCTGAAGCGTTTATTATATCTAGCTATATTAGCTTTCATTCATTTAATTTCAAAATAAGAATATTTATATCCGATCAAATATTAATATTGTATCATGATATAAATGAAATAAAATGATGAATGAAAATGAAATGAGATTTATGAACATAAAAGTTATAAATTGTAATTCTCAGTTTCAAGAATATTATTCTACTTTCAAGAGTAAAATATCAATATGAAAAGAGGGTAAATACAGATTCTATGCTGCGAAATTTAGAAGAATATTCTGAAATATTGAAAAATCAACTATAAGAAGATTAAAAAAATTTAAATGATTTATCAATAAAATAATGACAGGAATTAATGAAATATTTAAAAATACGATTTCAAATTATTTTAATTAAAAATAATAATAATTGCACAATACATAATGTGCATTGCTTTTTGAACAATATTTTAATTCTTTTGGAGCTCAAACATTTCATGAAATCATGTTGTTTATGTTACATATTTTTTGTTGTAAATTATATTGGTTACATAAAATGAAAATTTTGTTCATTTAATTTTACTTGAACAAATTAACATTATTTAACTCCAAGATTATATTTATATAAAAATATATCAAATTCATTGTTTACAACCTAATATTGTAAAAAATTGAGAGGATTGCAGTTAGACATGCTTATCATGTTTAACTCTTATACTCAAAAGAGCTAAAAGTAAACTACTGCACTTGGATATCATGCATCTATTGCTCAGCAAACCATATCGAATTGAAATCTCATTAGACATGCGCACATTTATGAATTTCATATTTGATAATAAGAAATAAATATCTTCACCTGAGATGGAAAAAATGTGTGTTTTATTATCAAATTTGTTGTAACAAAACAAAATCATCATATTGTATTCACATTATGAAATAAAATGCCCATGATTGAAATATTATAGTAATGAAATGTATAAAATCATATATTTTTTCAATTGATGGATGTAACAACAAGATGAGATATAACAACATGTTTAATTCTCAACAAAGACATTGTTGCATAGTGAAGCATTTTGATTGGAAAAGATTTTGCTGCTGCTGCTGCTGAACTGCTGTGCTGTATATATTTTTTATAAAAAAGAACTCACAAAGTTTGTTCCATAATTTAATATTGTGTAAAAACACATTTTAAATAAATTCCTGCATTGTTTTCAATTTCAAAACAAGACATAAAACTTAATATTGATGAAATACAGAAAAATGTATAATGTCATTGATCATTGGCAACCTCAACATAATTTTTAATATATAAATTTAGAACATCTCATGGACAAGTCTTTGATATATTTACAAGAGCTTTCATAGACATTTGTATTAATTTTTTTTAATCTCATCATACATGTCAGTAGATTTGAATAATCATATATGAGTCTTATATGACCCTAAATACATAATATATTAAGATGATTCGTTTCATTAAAAAATATGAATTTAGTTCTACAAAATGTCATTATGTTGACTTTGTTAGCCATTGCGCAAGAGCATG